TAATGTTTAAGTATTTACTCCATTTTGAGTTGATTTTTGGGTATGGTGTAAGATAAGGGTCCGATTTTATTCTTTGGATATCCAGGTGAATATCTGGAGCCATTTCTGGTTTTCACAACTGAGTGGGGGGGTTGCTAGTGGCATCCAGCGGGTAGAGACCAGGGATGCTGATGAATATCCTGCAATGCACAGAATAGAGCCCCACAACTAAGAATTATTCAATCCCTGAAATAAATACAGCCAAAGTTCAGAAACTCTGCTGTAAAGGAGAGGAAAGAGCTAGACAGAGATGAGATCAATGGAGGATTTTTTTTTTTTAAAATATGAAAGAGCCTCAAGCTTATTTGTTGCTGTTGGGCGTTGCTGTTGGCCAGGGAAATGGGCTGCTTTAGACAAGGTGTGAGGATGTGCAAATTAGTACAGAATTGTTTGGAGGGCAATTTGGTAGTACCTGTGAAAATTAAAATATGTAATTGCACTATTTAATAAGCTATTCCATTGAAATACTTGCACATGTACACTAAGATATTTACTCATGGATTTTCATTACAGTGTTTGTAGGAAAGTGAAAGGTTCTGGAATCAATTCCAACATGTGTGTAGGGGTTTCCCCCACATATCCAAGGAATTCTCCAGACACCAGCAGGGTGCCCTGCAATTTAACTCAATTCTGACACTATCTACCTGGAAATAGTATCAGATTCCACAGGTTAAGGGCTCAGACCTGTCAGACTGCCTCACTTTCCTTCAGAATGCTACTCCTAAGTCCAGGTAATCACCTGTGCTTCTGACAGACTGACTATAGATTGGAGGTTCCAATGTCCCCTGCTTTGGGTTTGATGAATTTGCTAGAGCAGCTCACAGAACTCAGAGAAACATTTTGCTTACTAGATTAATCATTTATTATAAAAGGCTATAACTCAGGAACAGCCAGATGGAGAAGATGCGTAGGGCAAAGCATGTGGGAAGGTGCATGGAGCTTCCATACCCTCTCCAGACGTGCCACCTGAAAGCTCTTCGCACCCCCTCCTTTTAGGTTTTTATGCAGGCTCCATTACATAGGCATGGTGGACTAAATTATTGGCCATTGGTGATTGATTCAACCTCCAGTCCCTCTCCCCTCTCCTGAAATCAGGCTATATCAAACCATTATAAGTAGGCTCTCCTTTCACTTTTTATTCTATAGTGGCTCTTAGATGGAAACTTTTTATGAGCATGTATTTTATAATTTTTAAACAATTTTGATTGCATTAAGATAGGAGAACAAATCTCAATTCTGACTTCCACAAAAATGAGGATTAGGGCTATTTATGAGATAAAAGGGCATGGTGGTCAGAAGTGTGGGGATAGATGATTGGAGGTAAGGATAAGTGAGGTCATAGATGATCTGGGCAGGTGTTGTCGAGCCTCATACCTCTTCATGGGACACATGTTCACAAAATGGTGGTATTAGCATGATCTGAAGTGGAGTTTTCGGCTCCCTGACGTCAAAGAGTCACCTATTGGGCATTCTCACAGGCCCAGGTGATGAGTCAGTGGTCTTAACTAGCCTGAACTGGACAAGGGGTCAACTCTCAGTTCCTGAAGAACTTAAGCAGCTGTTACCATGGTGACTCAAGCCTCAGAGATGTTATCTATAGGGTGGGCTTCAGTAATGCATCATCTAACTACTTTTGCAAACAGATAACTGAGTGTAGTTAAAGCAAGATGGCCCTTGGTTTCAGTAGCAACACAGCAGTTGAAAGGAAGAAAGAGTCTGAAGACAGGAATAAGATGGGGTAATGCAAGGAGGAAGATGCCTGAAGAAGCAGGAATAGATAATGATGATAGCATACGTAGTAGCAGGAGCAGCTAACATTCATTTAGCAATTGAAATGTGCCAAATGGTGTTCTCAATGGTGTTCTCAATCAAAATGGTTGCTTTACAAGTATCAAGTCACTTAATTCTCAATGATTTTATGAGGTAAATAGTATTAGTCAAGGAGATAGAGACACAGAGAGGTAAAGTAATTCGCCCAATCAGATAGCTCATGAATAGTGCAACTGGAATTCAAAACCAGGCAGTCTGGATCCGGAGCCAGTGCTCTTAATCACTGCCCTCTACTACTGGCTGATAGTTGGGGTCCAGAGCACAGGTTGAGGACTGGCCTGACAGGAAGAAAGAAACCTGATCAAACCATTGTATTAGTTTTTTATTGCTGCATAGCAAATTAACACAAACGTAATGGCTTAAAACATCAACCATTTATCATCTCACAGTTCCCTAGGTCATAAGTCTGGGAAGGCTCAACTGGGTTCTCTACTTAGTGTCTCACGAGACCAAAAGCAAGAATGTCAGCAGGGTTGGGCTCATATCTGGAGGTTCTGGTGAAGATTCTGCATCCAAAGTCATTGAGGTTGGCAAAATTTGAGTTCCTTTCCGCTGTAGTATTGAGTTCCCCATTTCCTTGCTGGCTGTTAGTCAGGGGCCTCTAATCTGAGTTTGCTGCAATTAGTAATTAGAGTCTACTGCATTCCTTACCTTGTAGCCCCTTGATCTTTATGTTTAAAGTCAGCAGTGGACTCTTGGCATGTGGAATTTTCACAGGCTTGGAATCTGAGTTCCTATATTGCTACCAGCCAGAGAAAGCTCTGGAATTTTAAAGGGCTCTTATGATCTGGTTAGGAACACACTGATGATTTCCCTTTCCTTCTGCTTGTAAAATAACCTAATCATGAGTGTAAAATTCATCATAATTAGCAGTCTTAGAGATTAGAGAGAGAAATCTTGGGGGCTGTTTTAGAATTCTGCCTGCGACAACTATGATGGGTTGGTAGCATGTCTTGGTGAAGGGAGGTCTGAGGGCTTGTAATGCCCTCCTGGATAGGAGTGGAAAATGTCCAACTTGAAGGGAGATGTTTGAGGATGAGTTTGAATAGGTGATGGGCTTTAAGGGCTCAACTGAGTTTGGAGGTGATGAATTTGTGGGACTACCAAACTGCATGGCTGTGTGATTTTTCTCTAGCAGGCTGGGTATAGGTGCAGAGGAGGTTTGGGGTTCTCGGAATGCTAGGCAGCAGGACCAAGTTAAGGGAGATGACAGGCTTAAGTGACATGCTCTGGAATCTAGGCCAGAAACATAAGACAGAAAACCAGAGTGAGGGAGTAGCAACAGTTGTTAACTTGCAAGAGCTGCAGGGGATGGCCAGATTCCAGTTAAAACAGGAAGTGGAGGAATGCTCCAGTTAGAGGTTAAAGATATAGAGCAGTGGTTCTCCAAGTGTGGTCCCCAGGCCAGCATTAGCATCATTTGGGGACTTGTTAGAAAGGAAAATTCCCAGGTCTGTCTAGACCTACTGAATGGGAAACTCTGGAAGTCAGGGAGCACAGGAATCTATTTTTAACAAGCACTGTTTTTGATGCCCCAAAGGTTTGAGAATCATTGATGCAGATTCTTTCATATTGGTTAAGAATACTTTTATCACAAATGGGATTCCAGAGGGACAGTAAGAAATTCCTGGAAGAAGAGGCTGGGACTGGGTAGGAAACACTGAGACATACAGGAGAGGACAAATGGCCCATGTTCTGTTTGCTGAGCTAGGATGCTAAGGATAAGTGTAAAGCATACCTGAATTAACTGGCCAGGGTATTCAGAACAAGCTCTGGTGATTCCAATCTGGACTAATTGTATTGCTGAGGTACTATTTCAAGTTCAAGACCAGGAGCATTTACTTTTTATTATTTATTTGAGGAAGATTAGCCCTAAGCTAACATCTTGGCCCATCTTCCTCTATTTTATGGGGGATGCCACCACAGCATGGCTTGATAAGCCGCGCGTAATTCTGTGCCAGGGATCCGAACTGGTAAACCCCAGGCCACCCAAGTGGTACATGAACTTAACCACTATGCCACCTGGCTGGCCCGAAGGAGCATTTATTGGTGAGAGTCAGAGATGGGTCCGTTCTGGGCCCAGATTGTCTGTTCTTTAAAGAGGAGGGAATCCAACCCCCAGGGAAAAAGGCCAGAAATGGGAGTAGAGAGTTCCTGGGATCCTGAAAACTGCAAAAGACCCTGATGGATAGGGAGGGATATTTAACTGTGAGCAAGATCCAGCTCCGCTATGGCTGAGCAAAGAACAAGACTTACTCTCCCTTAGCTGCAGGCACCACTCTGATGGGCTGAGCTGCTTCTGCTGTGGCGCAGTCAAACCTAAAAGAGCACAAGTGGGCCGTACTTAACCAAGAGGAAGAGGAAGTGAGGGGTGTATTTTGGGATGTGGGTAGTTGACTCAGTATAGTAATTCCTTATATTCTTGAAATTTTGGGGTCAGTCACTCTGGGAAAATCTTGGGACTCAGGCACTAAGATTCAAACAAGTTGAATATAATGTAACCCCACAAGATTTTTCATTGCTGTTATAGGAACCCCTCCCCTGAATCAACAGATCATCTCAGGTGGTTATAAACACACACCTCTCAGTGCAGCAGTGGCAAATGTACTTGATATTAAAATAATCAGTTTTACACTGTTAATAAAACAATGTGCAGATGAATGTGTACAGCATTTGTGTAGAAAGCCCTACATTTGTTTGTGATACATAAAATACTCTGGAAGACTACATAAGGAACCAGTGGGGCTGGCCCAGTGGTGCAGCAGTTAAGTGCACACGTTCCGCTTCGGCAGCCCGGGGTTCGCTGGTTTGGATCCCAGGTGCGGACATGGTGCTGCTTGGCAAGCCATGCTGTGGTAGGTGTCCCACATATAAAGTAGAGGAAGATGGGCATAGATGTTAGCTCAGGGCCAGTCTTCCTCAGCAAAAAACAGGAGGATTGGCAGCAGATGTTAGCTCAGGGCTAATCTTCCTCAAAAAAAAGAGAAAAGAAACTGGTAAATTGGTAGCCATTAGGGAAGGAAACTGGATAGCTGGGAGAGAAAGGGAGAAAGAAGAGTTTTCACGATTAAACCTCATGTACCTTTTAAATTTGGAGCAAATACATGTATTGCTCAGAAATAAAAAATAAATACATTTTAAAAATAATCAGCTTTTATTGTTCTCAACAGAGAAAGTCAAGGCTGAAGTCAATGGGAATTAAGTGGCCCCACTCTGGAGGGTGGAAGCTGCGGCAGCATCTTGGGGAGCTTCCTCAGAGATTCCCTTCGTCTGGCTGCCCTGGCACAGGCATTTCTGAGGAATCACAAATCGCAGTGATCTGCAGGGAGGACACTGAGAAAAGCTGTCCTGCCTGGAATCAGCCGCTTTCCAGAGCTGACACCCAGGAAGGTAGAGCTCCTCTCCTGTGGGTCACGTCCTTACTGGAAGGTAGGTGGGAATTCACACGTGTGACACGAAACGTCCTTCTCTCACGCTGTCTCTCGCTGTCTCTCTCTCGTTCCTCTCCCGTTCCGCATTCCTCTGATCTTTGAGAAGAGAGTGTTGAACAAGTCAAGTTCTTGTTAGTCCGAGTCTGAACTCTCATTTGATTTGGAAGACTTATGCTTTCGTTTTTTCTTTCTTTTCTTTTCTTTCTTCTTTTTCTTATGCTTTTCTTTCTTCTTCTTTTTCTTGTTTTTCTCTTTACCTTCTGAGGAACTGGAGCTGCTCTCATCTTCATCTGAAGTGGAATCCTCCAGTAACTGTTTTAACTGCTGTATCCTAAACAGATTGGTCAAAGAATCATATTTAACTTAAACAAAATTTTTTTTAAAGATAGAAATATAACAGCAGTGGGGAGGGTAAAAAAGCGTCACAAATAATCACCTCATTAAAGACACTACATATTTTCATTTTTGCTTGCTTCTTGCCCACATCCATGCCTATTTTACATGAATGTAACCAGTGTACAAGCCATTTTGTATTCTTTCCTTTTCCTAAATATTCTGCATGTTTCTATAGTCCTTACTATTATGATTCTAAAAGATGCATCCTTGCCTAAATCATTCCCCCACTGCTCAGCTTCACGCTAGGTCATCTACCTCCTCAACAATTGTAACTCAGTACCTACCACCAAGCTGAGAAAAACAAACGCTTGTGTTTTTTCACTGTATCTTTAACCCTGTCTAAGACATTGGAGAAGATAAACTAAACGATAGTTGCCAACTCAACATCAGTGGCGTTTGTGGGCTGGGCCAAGCCCACTGCTTTAAGGTAACTCAAGTAGAACAAGGCTGGCCTGCTCGTTCTGCACACAGTGGTCTTTTCAGTGATTACTCCTGCCTTCTAAATATTTCACAAAGTACCATATTTACTAAACCACTCTTCTAATACTGAAATGGCTGTTTCCAGCTTGCTACAATTTCAGACTTTAAGAGGGTATTGTTATCGTCAGGATGACCTCACCTTATATCCTTTTCATGTCTTTTATTCTCTCGTATAATGTCATACATAGGATCTTCATGTGCCTTGAGGGTTAGAGAAAGTAAAGGTTTGGTTAGGCTTCACAGAGACTGTTAGTTAAATTAAAATTGAATCCCTATTTTCACTGAAACCAGTTTTATTTTCCCCGTTTGGTGTAATTTTATATTCAACATATTCTAATCCTTCCTAAGTGTCACCATCACTTCAAACTCATGGAGGCTATAAAAAAGATTTTCCAATTATACAAATATAGGATATAATTTAAATAGTCTTTATAAGGAGATAAACCTTGGCAAAATCATTATTAAATACTGCTCAAGGTTAGAAATATTGACATAATTCTTTTTATGTAGACATGATCAAGAGATATTGTTAAGCAAAATCAGTTGGAATATGTGAGAATGATTCATTTATAGGTGCACAAAAACATATATATATATGCCCAAAAAGAAGTCTGGAAGTGTATTCATCAAGCTACTTACTGCAGATTTCCTCTGGGGAGAGAGGCAAGATTGGACTTGAAAAGTCAGTTATGAAAAACCTTACTGTAATATTTTCATTTTGTTAAGACAAATGTATTCTTGTAATATTTGTATAATTTAAAATCACTTAAATTACTTAAAAATATGAATACATATAGACTGAATCTTATGGTATGTGAGTTATCTTTAAAAATATGTTTATTGTAAAAATTTTACATATTAAAGAAAATAATAAAGTTAAAAATATCTATCACCTTACCACCCAGGGATATCCACTGCTAACATTTTGTGTGGTTCTTCCAGTCACTGTTCACAATTTACAAAAAATCATAATCATATTGTATACACAATTCTATTCTCTTTTTCACTTGTTTTCATGAACATCTTCCTGTGACATTACATATTCTTCTAAAACATGATTCTTAAAAGCTATATAATTTCTGTTACAGTAATTTATGTTGGTATGTTGGCCATTGATGTTGTTTCCTTTAGTCTCTATTTTTCAACCATATAAGTAATTCTGACAGTTATCCTTATACGTTCCTAAAAATTTGTCTATATTGATGTTGTTATATCTTTAGAATCCTTAGAATTTAGGTTTCCAAATTTAAAAAGTATGAATATGTTTAAGTTTTTGAGATTTATGACCAAATTATCTGTTATAGGAGTGGTAAAAATTGACACTCCAGCCAGCAGTGATTCATCCAGAATATTTTCCTCAAATTATTAAAATGAAAGCACAGTATTTTAAATGTCTTAAAGTCCCTGGAGAATGTTTGTGGACCCGTTTGATATATGCTGGTAATCCCAATATATCTGATAATAGCATAGTTAAGTTGACTGAAACAGTTACTGAATGGTGAATTAACACCTCTGGGAGGTGACACTGTTAAAAAAAAAGTGAGGAAATGCTAGATCTCTTTTACTGTCATCTAAGGAGGAGATATCATTTACATACACACATAGTTTATAATAGATATCTAATAGACAAAGACTGGGGAATTAGAACTCTGATTTTAGTTATGAAACATGATTTTTTTTAACAGAGTAAGTTAAAAAAAGTGACTAAATAGATAACAATGTCTGCTTCAGAAAAAGAATCAGTGTTCCCAAGGCATCAGCAAATAACACTTTAATAAGAAGTTAGTGCTTCTGTTAACGAACTAATCTATTCACACAAATTCGATTTAACAGAGATGTACTCTGGCCAAAAGGCTTCTGGGAATGTATTTGATGTGAGCCTCAGTTCACTGATTACTGCCTGATTCACCGACATTCACCATTTCTGGTAAACGTAAATTGACGCTCTGGGGTTTTACTTACTACTCTGAACTGTTCTAACTTTTGGTTGCCTTTGATAAAGAAAGGGCATTCTTTGTCGCCCGTTCGGTGACCATACCGTTTACAACGCCAACCTAAAAACAAAGAAAAAGGGATATATTTCTGTAAGATAATGCATTTTTACTTAAAATAAAGTATCAGTAGATCATATTAGAGATATTCTTCATTAGATTCCAATTTTAAAAACAAATGCAATCAGTGGATGAACCATGTAAGATCCTAGAAAATAGAGGAAACTAATTGCTTCCTCAAGGATCTTTTAATCTTGGAGTTTTAGAAAGGAACTAAGTACTTATTAAGCAATCCCATGCAAAAAGTAGTGTGTTTTTTTCTAACTGTGTGTCATGGGTTGAATTGTGTCATCCCCCCCGACTCCCCCATTATGTTGAATGTCCTAACCCCTAGTACCACAGAATGCGACCTTATGGGAGGTAGGGTCTTCCTTCCCTCATAGCCCTCAGAAGGAACCCACCCTGCTGACACCTGGATTTCGGGCTTTTAGCCTCCAGAACTGTGAGACAATAAATTTCTTTTGTTTAAGTCACCCAGTTTGTGGTACTTTGTTACAGCAGCCCTAGCAAACTGTATACAAACATTAAACAATTCCAGCCAAGGAGATCAGGAAGCAGGAAGAGGAATTATAGGAAACATCAGCCAGTTTTGCTCCATGCCAGCATATACTGAACATATGTTGTGACAGGGAAGTAATGCTTTTCCCTTTATATTTTTATTGGAAAAAATGAAGTTCAGGGATTCTCTGTTGATTGCCACTGACCTGCCCCCTCCCTATCTCCCTCCTATTTTGAGTTAGCTCCACCTGGGGAAGAAAGAACGCACCCAATGCAGATGCAGACCCCTTCTAACAGGTGTCTGTTGACAAAAATGCTAGGATGTTAAATGCCATGGATTGACGTGTGGGTATCAAGAAGGATCCACGCCATCTGTGATCAAAACTCTCTGTTAAAGGAAAGGTGACCCTTATTACTCAAACTGTGGTCAATGGACCAGCAAGATTGACATCATCCCCTGGGAGCTTGTTAGAAATACAGAGTATCAGCCCTGCCCTTTGAGAAGCTCTGCTCTAGATAGCACTAGGATCAATGAAAGTGTGAATAATGCTTATGTGTGTTTTTTCTCATCTGGGATGGCTCCAAGTTTGTGGAGCCTGAAGCTTACACTACTGAAGGGGAGGGAGGGCTCTTTAGGAAAAAAAATCTCACCCTGGCAAATTTTATAAAAAGACAGGACCGCATGAACACATTATTGGGACTCCACAGGCCTTTGGAAGGTGCAAGTGAGGGGCCCTAAAGCTGAAGCTTCATTAACTTCAAGGTAAAACTGGTTCTGGTCTTAACCAAACACTCTTAATTTGCAGGTCAATGAAAAGAAGTATAAAGTGTTAGGTGCAGCACAACTAACCACCCCATCAAACAGAGGAGTGGTTTTAAACTTAACAACAACAACAAAAAACAGACTTCTGGGTAAAGATGGCAGACTAAAAACAATCATTTACTTTCATCTCCTTCCTGACATCCCATAAAAATGACAAAGAGAATATGTTTAGTAAGACATAAACCCCAAGGACAAGGAAAATAGGAAAGGAGACAGCAGTAAAAAAATATATATATATATATTGGAAGCTATAATACAGATAGAGTGTGCTAAATGAATAGCAGACCTCAGAAAACTGAATTCTAAGTCAGTGGTAGGGAGAACTGAGAACCAGCTCAATTTCCATTTGTAGAACCCCGAAAAGCTCCAAGAGGACCCCAGTGACCCCTACCTCCTAGTATACACACCCTCATGTAGTCCCCTTCCACAGTGAACAGGCCTGAGCTGTGGAAGCAACAGCATATTATGGAAATGACAGCTTATGATTTCTGAGGCTAGGTCATAAACAGTGTTGTTTGCACCTTGCTGTCTCTTGGATCACTGGTTCTAGGGAATGCCCACTATAATATCTTAAGACTTAAACAGTCTTACAAAGAGGTACAAGTAGCAAAAATTGAGGGCTCCTGTCAAGAGCCAGCAGCAACTTGCTAGCTATATGAGTGAGCCATCTTGGAAACGGATCCTCCAGTCCCACTCTTGCCTTCAGGTGATTGTAGCCCCAGCCAACATCTTGACTGCAACTTTATCAGAGACTCAAAGCCAGAATCACCCAGATAAGTGGCTCATGAATTCCTGACCCACAGAAACTGAGATAATACATGTTAATTGTTGTATTAAGCCACTACATTTTGGGGTCATTTGTTACACAGAGATTCCAGTAATACAGTAGGTAGCCGCAGATTAGCAGACATCCAAAAGCCTCTTAATAAATGAGAGACAAAGGCGAAAAAACAAATAGAAAACACCAACTTGGAAGAAAAAAAAAATATTAGGGAGAAAAAAAAGAAATTAACATCCTTAGATAATAAATTGCAATAAGAGAACAAGAACAGAATTAAAAAAGTCATAGAACAAAAAGAGCTTGTGAAATGTAAATATAGAAGAAATAAACAACTGAAAGACTGGAAGATGTGTTGATGAAATATTCTAGAAAGCAGAAGATAAAAATAGGAGAGAAAAGATCAGAAATTACAAAATCAGTCTAGGAAGTCCACTATCAAAAACAGAATTGCAGACAGAGGGGAGGAAATAATCAGTGAAACAATTTGTGAAATTTCAAGACTGGAGACAAGAAGATGATCTTACAAGCTTCCAGGAAAGAAAAATAAAAAAAGGTAACAACAACAAAACAGGAACATCAAAGCATCCAGGGGCTGGCCCAGTGGTGCAGCAGTTAAGTTTGCACGTTCCTCTTCAGCAGCCCAAAGTTCGCCAGTATCGGATTCTGGGTGCGGACTTACACACCACTTGTCAAGCCAGGCCGTGGCAGGCATCCCACATATAAAGTACAGGAAGATGGGCACGGATGTTAGCTCAGGGCCAGTCTTCCTCAATAAATAAATAAGTAAATAAATATAAAATAGGAATTCTCAAGAGAAAAAAGCATCCAGAATTTAATTGTTTTGGACTTCTCCACAGCAATTCTACAAATGAGAAGGCAGTGGAGCAATGCCTTCAAAATTGTGCAGAAAGCTGGTTTTTAACTTAGAATTCTATACCCTGGCAAACTAAAAATAAAGTCTTAAAAATTTTATTCTCCCATACACCCATTTCTCAGCTACCAGAGAATGTGCTCTACCATAGCAAGAGAATATAACGAAAAAGAAGACCCAAGATACAGGCAATAGGAGATCCAACATAGGCGACAGGTCAGGGAAGACCACAGAATGATGGTGGAGGAGGATCTCTGGGTGATAGCATCGCGAGCAACTATCTTTGAAAGATAAAACTGACAGAATACTTCAAGCATCTGAAGATCTTCAATTAGTGATCAGTACAGAGAAAAGAAAAACCACCACCACAAGAAGACAACTATTAATTGCAGAGAAAACAAAACATGCAGGATGCATGAAAGGAAATGTAATCAGTTTAGCATATGATTCAACTCTGAAAATAGTCATAATGAAAGATTTATTTAACTAAATTATGATACAACTATTATTAGGAAAATAGAAGATAGGAGGGTATGTGTATGAGGTGGGGTGGAGGCAGAAGGAAAGAGCTGAATTCTTGTTTTCTACAGAAGTCCACAGGTAATGAAGAGACCGGAAATATCAAGGGGCAGGAATACAGTCATCTTATTTAGGTGCATGGAGATAAACTTCAAAATAACTTTCTTAAAAGAGGTTCAGGTGGTTACCTTTGGGGTGAGGGGAATGGGGGGAAGGGGCTAGGAGCTGCTGTTTTACTTATGTGCACGAATAATCTTTGTACAGACAAATGTCCTAAAAGGCAGCAGTACCCTTTCTTCAAATGCCATCTGTGCTGCATGAAAGTGCTGTTGCTCTGGTGGGCTGGGGGGTGTGCACGCACAGCTCTACCTGTTCCAGACCCGCCCTCTGTGCCCCAAGCTCCTCTCAGGTTACATGGATAAAACCTTAATGCCACTGATGGAGGATGACTGACTGAGGCAGGACCCAAAGGGACCTGGCCTCCACTGCATCTCTATCCCCCACGGCATCTCTACCGTGGAGTACTGTTCTGTTACAGGATATCACTGGAGAGCATCCTCCACAGGCAGCTACGGCCCTGAGGAAAGACCGCTGCCCTTGGAGCCAGAAGCCCTGGAGGTGAAGCACTGCTCTACCTCTTATCCTGGACCACTCAGTAATAGATGCAAGTCGGCCTCCTCATCTCTAAAGAGAGACCATGCCAGGACTTTAACAGGGCTGTGGTGAGAACCAACTAATCAAAGGAAGTAAACACGCTTTGTCAGTCATGGGATGTATCTGCGTGCACTGAGGAGTGTTGGTGAAGCTCTTGTGTACTCACACTGCATGACTTTGACTTCTTTCCCCAGGGGCATCCAAAGTCCTTTAGTTGGGGCGTGAGCCAGAAATTCCCTGGCGTGTTCATTGCCTGGTACGTCTGGTATACAGTCTTCTGGCTTAGTCTCATCTTCCTAAAGAAAGAAGCGACCTGTAAACACTATGGCGAAAGCACTGGAATTCTCCCCACCTGCCTCACAACACAGCAGTGCCTGGCTTTCTCATGGGCTGGAGATCCCAGTGTCAGTGATAACCCTCTCAAGATCTGGAAAGAAAGACGAATTAGACCAGACAGAAAAAACAGAAATAAATGTAGCAGAGAACTATTACACAAAAATGATGTAGCTGTTCTTAGAGAAACGTTACTAGTTTTGTGCACACAGGAATGATCTGTGAGCTCCAAATTCTGCTTCTAGATCACAAAAATTAGATTCTAAGATCACAAAAAGTTTTCTGTTAACTTAAAAGCTTTGTGGAATGAGGCAAAGTATGGAATAATAAAAATGTTAAATACAAATAGCTTATTATAGCTTGAAGGCCACTGTCATGTTTGATAATCTAACACATGCTGTATTTATGAAATGTACCTTCACTACCAAATAACTGCATTATACAATTAAGCTGCTGGTTTTCTTACATTCTGATTTTTTTTCAATTTCCAATGAATATTAAATTGATAATGGAAAAATGTTTTTTTTCATCTTTTTTTTTAATGGAAAGTTACCAAACAAAAAAGGTTGCTTTGTCCTTTAACTCCTCCTCTAGGTCTCGGTCCCACAGAAAGACGGTGACCCTGTGGCCAGGGTGCTGGAGGAGGGACTCCTGCACCAGGGAGGCTGGACCCGATGAGCTTCAAGTCTCCTCAGAGCCCGCTGCTCTCTGAGCTGCAGACACTCAAGAAACAGCAGCAGGCGAGTGAGAGGAGGCACACGGGCAGGACAGCTTTGAGAAGATGGAGTCACCAGGCAGAGAGAAGGGAGTGATGGCTGAGGAGCACACGGCACCTGCCACGGCTTCTCAGGGACACACACACAGCTGACTAACTTTCTACGCAGGCACAGGCTTGTGACAAAGCCCAGGGTGTATGAACCGACTGGCATCTGCAGGGAGGAACAGGGTTATAAAAGGAGGTTTAAAACCTGACGCAGCTGTTTTCATAACAAGTTAATGAGTTTGAGCACTGAGTCAGCTGTCTAAGAGAGTAAGCAAAAGTATAAACTTCACACTGACCTTGATAAGCCCAGGAGGAGGTTTTTCATAACTAGAAAAGAAAAAAAATCTGTCATCAACCATGTTAACAGGAACATAACACATTTTAATGAGCAAAAAGCAACCACAGGCCAAAATAAAAAGGATGTTTTTCGTAAGAACTTAAAACGACATTTATATCTGAAACAGTGAAATATGCCCGGCACTCAGGAGAGCACATATAAGTAACAGATGCTATACCACATCCTGCTGGGATGTAGAACTGAAATTCACGGAAATAATAACTAACTTGGTGTCTTAGCACAACGATTTTACTTTTGGAAGAAGGGAAAGCAAGAGGTTGCAGGGAAAACGTGAGGTAAATGTGAGGGTAGACCCGTGAGTTAACTGTGGCTCCAAACTGTTACTATGGTTGTCAGGTCATTGAGCCAGCACGACTCCCGCTTACCCAGCACTGAAGGGGCTCCCGGTGGGGAGGGTTGAGTGACTGTGCTCACGTGGCTGGGGCGGCGCGGGGTGGGGAGCAAAGCTGGAGGGAGGGGCCTACTGTGGGGGAAGGAGGTCAGGGTGGTCTGTCCTGGAGGCTCCCTCTCCCATTTCCCTGTCCTCCCAATTCAGGGTCCTCCCTGCCCCTGGGCTCTCTGCCTGCCGTCTGTGCCTGTCCCGACATCCTGGACTCCTGGACTCGAGGGGCAGCACTCCTCACGGTGCCTGAATGACATAACGATGCCGCTAGATGAAGCACAGGAACGACTGCGTGGGAACTACTTTCCCTTTCACCACAGAGCTCTCCGACCCCCAGGGTCCTGAGGCTACAAATCATGCCTGTGCGCCCAATTCATTTCCACTTTCCTTCACTCTGCCGGAGCTGCCCAAGAGGCTTCTGGATTCCAAATCTGGAAAACCAGCGCCAAATGCTCACGTCCATTTTTTAAGTTATTTTTCAATTGAGATTTAATTGACATGTAACATTGTATTTTAGGTATAATCATGTTCATTTTAAGTTACTGACTCACTACTGGCTATCAAACACACATGAGTGTCTGACTTTTAATGTGAATTCCTAATGGACACTCCTCCCCAAAAAACAGAGAAAAAAGAAGCAGGATAACTGAACATTTCAGGGCTTTTCCATGTCTCTAAAACGAACATTTAACTGAAAGAGGACATCTGGGCACTGTGGTGGGTTTAAAATTGTCTTGACTCCAAAAACTTGGAAATGTCTGAGTCCCCAAATTGCTGCACACAGATGGTAAATTCAGAGATGATTAACTTTCTGAATTTCGTAGTGAAAATGTCTCACTTTGTTTGTTTTTTTGTGAAGAAGATTGGCCCTGAGCTAACATCTGTTGCCAATCTTCCTCTTTTTCTTTTCTCCCTCCGCAAAGCCCCAGTACACAGTTATATATCCTAGTTGTAAGTCCCTCTAGTTCGTCTATGTGGGATGCTCCCACAGCATGGATTGATGAGTGGTGCATAGGTCTGTGGCCAGGATCCAAATTGGCGAACACTGGGCTGCTGAAGCGGAGTGAGCAAACTCAACCACTAAGCCACTGGGCTGGCCCTGAAAATATTGTACTTTTAGCATCAGAAAAACATTGATAAATCATTTATCTAATAGTCAAATAAATACTGATTATCCCCAAACTAATACAAGTGTACCTTGGAGATACTGCAGATTCATTTACAGACCACTGCAATAAAACAAATGTGGCATGAAAGTGGTCACACAAATTTCTTTATGTTTACACTACACTGTAGTCTATTAAGTGTGCAATAGCATTATGTCTAAAAAACAATGTCTTTACCTAATTAAAAAATAGTTTATTGCTAAAAACTGGTAACCATCCTCTGAGCCTTCAGTGAGTTGTAATCTTTTTGCTGTTGCAGGGTCTTATAAAAAATGCAATATCTGCAAAGTGCAGTAAAATGAAGCACAATAAAATGAGGTATGCCTGTATAGGACAGTCTCCAAAATAGTTTAAGTTAAAAAAAAAAAAAAAGCAGTAGGGTACGGAACAGTCAATTTGTTATGCTTCTATTTGTGTGTATGGGAAAAAGGTGATATATACCCTCTACGTACACACAGACAGGACTTTACATGAACAGAATACCTCTGGAAGGATTCCTGAGGGAGGCAGCTTCATTTTTCACTTACATTGATTACATGCAAATATATTGTCTCAAATAATGTTTTTTAATCACAAAAGAAAGCTGAAATTAATAGCATCTTCCTTATACCTATGTTAGTATAAGCCCGGCTAATACATCTCTCAAAGAAAAACCAAAGGTAACCCGGAACTAAGAAAGAAAAAAGGGCCAAAAATATGCTATTAGTAGCTCATTTCTGCTATGGAGTTATATAGGCTGCATTTTTGTTTTAAAATGTCAATGTTATTTCTGTAATTGTCTCAGGAATTAAATCTCCACACTAGCTCTAATTATCTTGATATTTTCCTCCTACCAAAAAAGGAGAAACTAAATTTAATTCTCAGGTGATACTGAAGGTTCACCTTAAAAACTTACTCCTTGCAGAAGTGACCAGTCAACAATTATCAATCCAGGCACAGTGCTAAGCACCAGAAGGGAGAACTAAGGGCATAAAGATACTCCTAATTAAAAGGTACAGAAAATTAAAAACTAAAGAAAAGCATAAAATTAAAACTGCTCTCAGAAATCCCCATGTTACCTCTTTGCAAAGGTAATTCATATATTGGGACCCACAAAGTAGAGGCTGTCCCAGTGGCCTGGCTCATGTCACGAATCTAAATCTAAATCAGCCTGCATTAAGGGGATAGGCCTCACTGTCAAGGAAAGCTAACATACACCAATCACAATCCTCCAACTCAGCTTTAGCTAGCTGCCTTTACCTTTGAAATTGAACGTGCTAGCCTTATCAGGAAATACCCGACCTCCTACCCAATCATGCCAGGGTTCTGTGTTGCCTCTTCTAAGGCCCTATAAAACGTGCTCTTGCCCCAAATCCCTGGGAAGAGTGTGCCACTGCTTCTGAGGCACTGTACTCACCCATCCATGGATTGTTTTCCCTTGAATAAAGGGCAAACGTGTGACTGAATCGTATTATTTTTGTCATTTGACACTCTTTATAATTGTATAAGTGTCCTGATAAAAAACATGTTTTGGTTGTTTGGAATAGAGGACCCCACATTCCAACTGGAACATTTTACAGTTCTAAATCAGTGTGAATGGGCTTTGGAGGTCAAAAAAATTTTTTTGGTTTAAATTCTGATTATTCTCACTGCTGTGTACTTTGGGCAAGTTACTTAACCCCTCTGAGTCCCAATTTCCTCTTGGGTAAGTATTTCACAGCACACATGAAAGGCACTCCACAATATTGGCTTCTGCCCCTTTTGTGGAAAACAAGTTGATGCTCTCAGCAGCCTAATGAGGCAGCTCAAGACTGGCACACTAGCATCAGAAAGGCCAAGATCAGGACCCAACAGAGAGGCCTCACCAAACCAATCCAGCCTTTACATCTTTTTACAGATCTGCAGCTTTATGGGGATCCACAGCTGCTCCTAAGCAGAGGTGGGCACAGACCTGGCAGTGGACTTGCCACAGACATCATCCCCAGCGGGGCTTACTGCCTTTCTAGGCCATGAGACTCTGAGAACTCTCTTCTGCATCTGGCACCAGGGATCACTGCCTTTTCCCCATGCAGGTGGTACATGAGCTTTCAGCCAAGTCTCTCCCCATCTCCTCTCAGGCCCAAAAAATATGCCTTATGATAGTTATTAAATTATCTTGTTAAAATTTCAGAATAAGAGGAGGGCAGGCCAGGGACCCTGACCTTCATTTTACTGTTGGTCAATCAGAGGCTACACCAGTAAGAGGTTGAATCAGGACAATCACCCAGAACTCATGACATCAGGAGTTCTTTCACTGAGTTGTAATCCCCATTCTAGGCCAGCAGTGCATTTCCTGCAATAACTGTGATGAGCTAAATAAGTTGTGCAAGGGCACACAGCCCAGTGCCCGTGTGCTGGCCTCCATGCCATGCCTCTGTTGGGGAGGAAAAATTTCTCCTCTACCCTTTTAAATTCTGGCTAGTTTAAGAATTAAATTGACATGAAACAGATTAACAGGAGAAAAAGCAAATTTAATTTCATATGTACAGGGGCTCCATAAGAACATGAGGTCCGTAGGCAGTTAGGCAGGTGAGGCTTATATTGCCATCCAGAGCTAGGGAGAAGGGGTCTGGGACTTCAACTGGAAGAAAGACAATTAATGGGAAGATGAAAAGAGCAAATGTTTGGTAAACAAACGTTTGCTGGACCATACAGCAACAATGGGACACAGAGAGAACTTTGCTCAAACAGACTTTGCTAGGTTCCTACCTGTCTATCACAGCTAGCTCATATTATACTGTAGTTATCCACGCTGATGGTTCCTTCCTGGAACAGGCCCTCTATCCAAATTCTTTCAGGCATTTAGAGGGAGGTAAAAGCTCTTCCTGGGTCTTTTGTTTCTTAAAATAATCAGCCTCAAGTAATCCTCATGTCAAAGAGACACATTTTGGGGTGGCAAATTTTGCTCCCCTACACCTCACCTGTACAGGATTGTCAGTAAACATTTAGCTAAATCTAATAATTATTCTAGCATCATGTTTGCCACTGGAAAACGAAAGACTCCAGGAACACTTTAAATCCAGAGCTTGAGTACTGTTTGATTTGGGCATAGGTATCATTCTGATTCCAGTTTTCCCTAAATTTTTTCCCCCCAAACATTGCTCATTTATTCACTTTTTATTTATTGTGATATAATTCCCAAACCATATTTCCCTATGTTTTCCAACACTCCCCCGTTAAGCAAAACACCCTGAAGTTGGGGGGAGGTAGTAACAAGGATAATGACCTCCTGTCCTCTCTGAGGCGGGGGATGCGTTGAATGTGTGCAGATATTAAACGCATACACGCATGTTTGCTTGCTGATGCTGGGAACAGCCATGTGGAGGCAGATAATTAATTCTAAGGAGTCTGTGAGGGGAAACGTCAAGTTAGGAGTCAATATTTGAGCTATGCCCTGAGGTTC